AAGCAATAAAACAATTTTAAAAAAAAGAACAAACAGATCAAAATTAAGAATAGTCTTTACCTTTAAGTTACCCAGAAATGAATAACAGGAGGAGGATGAATAGCTTGGCTAAAACTACACAATTAGCTTTGGTAACTTGGCTCTGCTTGCTATGGGAACCTGAACACGGATGTAGTTGTCCCCTTTAAATATTGGACTCTGCAGATGGTCGGGGCCGCTTCTGTCTTGGGCTTCCCGAGTGGAGGAGCGGACACTGGCCAGTCAATAAGGGCTCTCTAAACTGTAGTCAGTCTGGAGTTCTGGTCATTCTGTCGCTCGCACTCCATAACATTATCAGGACTCCTTGAGCCCCAAGGACAGCTCTTTGCAGCTCAAGCAGCTAATGGTGAGCAGAACGTCTGGCAGGTGAAGAAGGGGCGCCTAGACTGGGCTGGAAGCAGACCCAAGCCAGGGTGGGAGTCCTGTCTTGTCCTGTCGGGCGTGAAATGGCCCTTTGCCACTTCAAAGCACTGCGCCCCCTGGCTCAGGGTGGGGCAGCAGGGCGGCAGGGCAGGGGAGAAGCAGGGCGGGGCGGCGGGGCGGCGGGGCGGCGGGGCGGGGCGTTGGCCGGGCCAGAGGTCTGAGCCAGAGCTGGGAGCTCTGCGACATGGAGTGCTGGCCAGTTCTGCTGCTCTGGGGTCTCCCCCAGATGTGGGCAAGTCCTGAGGGTGAGGGGAGCAAGGACGCCTGGGCATGGGTCTGGGAGACAGTGAGAGGGAGCTGGGCTGGGAACCGGGGCGACGCAGGAAGGGGGCGGACAGAGGCGCCTGCATCTCGGAAAACTAAGCCGCAAGCTCACGGGCGACTTGGCCGAGAACTTGGGGCTCTGAGCCTAGGCTCCCGGCACTCGGCTCCAGGGGTGCGTGGTGCTGGGGAGCTGGATGACACCACACTCCTGCCCAAGGCCATCATTTTTATTTGTTTTCTTCCTTCTCCTTAAGCTCTGCGCCCCTCCGATCTCCACTTTCTGCCCGCGCCTCAGAGCAGCGCCCGCCTCCTCTTCCTCCAGATCTCGCCCTTTGCCAACAGCAGCTGGACGCGCACCGACGGCTCTTTCTGGCTGGGGGCGCTGCAGACCCACTCTTGGAGCAATGGCTTGGACATCCACTTCCTGAGGCCCTGGTCCCAGGGCAAGTTAAGCGACCATCAGTGGGAGCAGCTGCAGCAAGTGTTCTGGGTGTACCGGAGCAGCTTCAACAGGGAGATCCGGGAATTCGCCAAAATGCTGCACTTGGACTGTGAGCTGAGGGATGGGTCCCTGGGCAGCTGACCCCGGGGAGACAGCGGAGGGAGAGGCCCAGCTGGGAGACTTTGGCCTCACTGTGTGGGATGTTCTCATTTCCACTCCTGCCAGGAAGGTCCCAGCCACTGACTCCCCAAAATATCCCTGGTTCCTCTGCCCTGGGTCACACCCTCTCATTTCCCGGAGCTTTGGGTGGGATAGCCCTCACATCCGTGTCTTCTTCGGTTGTTCCCACCGTTAAACCATTTGATCTCCGTCTGTTCCTCTCCTCAGATCCCTTTGTGGTCCAGGTGTCCGCTGGGTGTGAGGTGCACCCTGGAAGCCCCCTAAAAAGCTTCTTCCACTCAGCATTTCAAGGAAGCGATATATTGAGTTTCCAGGAAACTTCTTGGGTGCCAGCCCCCGATGCCCCACATGGAACCGAGATGATTAGCAACGTGCTCAACAAGGACCAATACATCAAGGACACATTAGAGTGGCTCCTCAATGACATTTGCCCCCAATTAGTGACGGGCCTCCTTGAAGCAGGACAGCAGGATCTGGAGAAGCAAGGTCAGCCTGCATGTCTCCCCCCCCCCCCCCCCACCCCCACCATCCCTCCTCTGTGTGGCTCCATCTGGGTTTCCCATTCTAGGGTTTCCATTCCTTTGTGCCTTGGAAGAGAAAGGCTCAGGAGGGGATGGCTAAGGCCTGAGGGCATTATTCATTCCATAGTATTCACTGAGCAACCTTTGGGTTTGTGAGTTTAGTTAAATAAGCACTGGGGTCAAACAGGATCTTTGCTTGAGGGGCAGGATGGGAAGACAAGCAGTAAAGTAGGGTGTGAAACTTGGATATGTTACAGCTGAGCACAGGGTGCTCTAGGAGTGTAGGCAGGGGCGTTTACAGGAGACTGGGTCAGGGAGACGCTAGAACAAATGGATGAAGTGACGGAAGCCTTCGTTTCCTGCGGTGGGACTGTGGGCTGCCTGAGTCAGCCACGGGGCCGGAGCCTCTAATGCAGAGGCCCCACTCCCTTGTTGGATACAGTGAAGCCCGAGGCCTGGCTGTCCAGTGGCCCCCCTCCTGGCCCTGGCCGTCTGCTGCTGGTGTGCCACGTCTCAGGATTCTACCCAGAGCCTGTGTGGGTGAGGTGGATGCGGGGGCAGCAGGAGCAGCCCGGCGCTCAGCAAGGGGACGTCCTGCCCAATGCTGACGGGACCTGGCATCTCCGAGTGACGCTGGACGTGGCGGCTGTGGAGGCAGCTGGCCTGACCTGCCGAGTGAGACACAGCAGCCTCGGAGGCCAGGACATCGTCCTCTCCTGGGGTGAGAACTAGGGCCCCTCGGGGAGGGGATGTGGTTCTGAAGCACAGAGGGCGGGACAGGGAAGGGTGGGAGTGGACTGATGCAGGACAGAGGGGTTTTGGCCATGAGGCCCTGACCAGGACAGACAGAAGGAGGCCATCCGGGTACAGGACAGAGGGGAATAAAGATCTCAACTCAAAAGGCACTAAGGCGCCGAAACCGGTTTGGCTCAGTGGATAGAGCGTCAGCCTGCGGACTGAAAGGTCCCAGGTTCGATTCTGGTCAAGGGCATGTACCTGGGTTGCGGGCACATCCCCAGTGGGAGGTGTGCAGGAGGCAGCTGATCGATGTTTCTCTCTCATCGATGTTTCTAACTCTCTATCTCTCTCCCTTCCTCTCTGTAAAAAATCAATAAAATATATTTTAAAAAAAAAAGGCACTGAGGCAGGACGTTCCATATGCAAGAAAAGTGAGACTAAAATCCTCCCAGTTTCAGAAGTAGGCGGCACATGAAGAATCCCAGGAAGACTTATTCCTCAGGAGAGGGGATGGGAGCAGGAGAAGGCAGGGTACACAGGTAGCTGTGGTTCTCCGGCTGCTTCCCGTGGCGGGCTGAGCACCCTGCACACAGCGTGCCATCCAGTCACCTCTCCTCTGAAGCAAGTATTATTCTCACTTTATAGATGAGAACCTGAGGCTCAGCTAGGTCAAGTTACTGCCCACAGCCGCATTGTTAAAAAGAGGAAAGCTGGGCTTAGACTCAGGACTGCCTCGCTGAGGAATTGCTGCCCTCCCCTATGTGCTGTGCTAGCTAAGCTGAAATGGACTGGATTACGGATGCCCCAGGCCTGAGAAAGCTGGGCCCTCCAAACTTCAGGGGAATAGAAGTGGCCACTTTTATTGTTTTTATTAAAAAACATATATATATATATATATATATATATATATATATATATATTACATTGATTTCAGAGAGGAAGGGAGAGAGAGATAGAAACATCAATAATGGGAGAGAATCATTGATTGGCTGCCTCCTGCACACCCCACACTGCGGATCAAACCCAGGCATGTGCCCTGACCGGGAATCGAACCGTGACCTGGTTCATAGGTCGATGCTCAACCCCTGAGCTACACTGGCTGGGCCAGAAGTGGCAACTTTAAATGGGAGAGGAAATAAGCACCTGGCACCCTCACATGTGCTGACACCAGGTGGCTTGAGCTAGGAAGGAATCCTGGGGCTGAGAAACTCCTGTGTTCCTGAAGCAGAGGGGAGTCATGTGCCGGTGGGCTGGATCATCGCAGCAGTACTGGCATCCCTCCTGCTGGTAGGCGGAGGCGTAACCTTCTGGCTTAAGAAGCGCAGGTGAGTCTTCTTTTTCCATCTCCTTTCCTCAGCCTTTGTCCCCATTTCTTCTTCCTTCCATCCCCTCTTCCACTTTTCTTAATGGCCTCTCCCTGGCTATTCTCTCACAGGTCTTATCAAGACATCCTGTGACTGTCCTCGCCACACCTGTCTGGCACTCAGGATCTCAAGTTCCCAGGACTTCGGCACCCAGGAATTGAGGATGAAAGAGGTGCCTGGAAGAAGCAGAGAACAATCACAAGACAGCTCTCATCACGTTCCTTTGCTACTTTAAGAGAATTTAAGCATCCTACCTGTTTAGAAGCTCACGTGGTTCTTAAGAACAGAAGTGCAAACTCAGATACCTCCCAGGGACAAGCAGAGAAGGGCCAAAGCGCAGGCACCTGTGGCCATTGTTTAAACGCTGGAGTCTGCAGAGACCCGGAAAGCACTTGTCCTGTCCAGGGGGAGCAGGTCCAGCTGCTTGTTGTCAAATAGGAAGTCAGACCCTGGGTTGGCTGTGACCTACATTTTTCAAGAAAAGCGGCAGTCTGGATTTTCATGTGAGCGTACCTGATATTAAAATAGTGACTCAAACTTTTACACAATTTAGGGTGTGGAACCCCAAATACACCTCTGCTAGTTAACAACAACTTGGGGGGCTTTCAGTTTGTATCTTTTGGGAAAGCTTGTGGTGAATGTCAATATTGGCAGTTTGAGGACATAATTTGTATTGTGAATTTGGATTTATAAGGGGATATTTCATCTTTAAAAAGGAAGTTAGGTCAAGGAAACAGGTATCCCAAGCTTCTACCTATGTAACTTGATTAAAAGAGGAGAAATCCTAGTGTATGTGTATGATATGGAAAAGAACTACTCTGGGGAGGGATATTTCTCACCAACGGGCAGTCATTTTATTCGGACTGGAAGAGGCAGTCATGAAGAGACCCCTCCAAACAGCCTCTCTTACTTCTAGCTATTGAGACAATGCATGAAAGGGGCTGAGCATACCTGGGCAAGCCTGAGGTGTAGTGATGCCGGCCTAGCTGTCTTCTTGGTTCTTAGAAAGGAGGTAACTGGAAGCTAAGCGGAACAGCAGACCTTTCTGGAGCCAAGAAATGAGAAGGTCAAGTTAAAATGATCGGTTGGCTCTCAGGAAAGTCGCCTCTAGGCACCCCAGGGCTCTGAACGTCCATAAAAAGAGAGGCTGCCCTTTGGAAGAGTCTTTGCTTGAGGAAATGAAGATTTGGCTTCTTCTCTGCTGGACTCGCAGGTCAAACCTAGAATGCAGGTGAAGAACCTGCTGGCTTCTGAACCAATGGTTCCCAAGTTGTGTTTTCGTGACCAGCGGCCTCGGCATCACCTGGGAACTTATGAGTTATTTTGGGCCCCACCCCAGAACTACTGAATGGGAAACCTTGGGAGTGGGGCCCAGTCGTCTGTGTGTTAACAAGCCCGCAGGTAATGCTGATATTCAGCTAAAGTTAGAGAACCACTGTTCTTAGACATGTGTAATGCTGTGCAACAAATTTCTCATTATGCTTAGTGAGAATATTGGCTTCGGTTAGTCAAGGAAGGCTTCATGGACGAAGGGGAACCTGAAGCAGAACTTAGAGAGGCGGGTAGGTGAATCAGCAAGTGCACTGGACCAGGAGACTGGAGTTCTAGCCTCTGACTCAGTTTCCTCCTGTGCCCATTGTGGCTAATAATGTCTGTCTTGATTACACTACTGATTAAATGTTTGTGTACGCCCCGATTCATACGTTAGAAATCTAATAACCAAGGTGATGGGAATTAGAAGGTGGGGCCTCTGGGAGGTGATTAAGTCATGAGGTCTGAGCTCTCAAATGGAATTAGTGCTGTTAGAAAAGAGGTCCCTTCACCTTGTGAAGACAGCGGAAGATGCCATCTAGGATGCAGGAAGTGGCCCTCATCAAACCCTGAATCTTCTGGCCCCTTGATACTGGACTTTCCAGCCTCCAATTTGTGAAAAATAAATTTCTATTGCTTATAAGCCACCCAGTCTGTATTATTTTGTGATAGCAGCCCAAATGGACAAAGACAGATTTTCTCATAGACTTGTTGTCTCCTAGACAAATGTGTGAAATGTGTGGCAAGCTACAATGCCTTCAGAAATGTGTGACCTGTTATTGTTTTTGGTGCCACACTGCCCTGGGGAGATGCTATTCAGCTCAGCTTCCTCAGGCAGCGTCAAGTTTGCGAAAGTATCTCACCCGGCTTTTACATTCCCAGGCTCTTCTGAAATCTTTTTGGAAATGCTTCAGCCTGAATTTACAGCAGCTCTGGTTCGTTTTTAAGCAATTTTGATATTTTTGGAAAGTAAACGTATATCCAGAAAATTTTGTTTTCTTCTTTCAAATAGTCAGTTCCTATCATCTCAGGAAATTCATTTTAAAATAGGTTAATATTCTATGTATGAATATCATGTCCCTCATTGAGTGCTGTGCTGTTAGTTTCGGTATTAACACTCAAATTTATTGCTATAAGTTCTAAATT